AAAAAAAAGGTTTATATATATTAAAAAATCAAATTGTTTATGTAGTGTTTATCTTACGTGTATATATGAACATTAGATGATGTGTGTGCATTACTATATCGGTTTATGTACTGTTTATCTTATGTGTATATATGAGCACAATAAACGGTGTGTGTGCATTAAAAAATGTTGTGTATGTAATGTTTATATTATGTGTAGATATATAAAATCTGTGTATGTAATGTTTATATTATGTGTATATAAAAAAATCAAATTGTTTATGTAGTGTTTATCTTATGTGTATATATGCACAATAGATGATGTGTGTGCATTACAATATCTGTTTATGTACCGTTTATCTTATGTGTATATATAAGCACAATAAACGGTGTGTGTGCATTAAAAAAAAATCTGGGTATGTAATGTTTATATTATGTGTATATATATACCAAATAAACGGTGTGCATAAAAAAAAATATTGTTTACGTACTGTTTATCCGAAAAAGTTCATTTAGATAGGTTAACCTAATGGAAATAAAATATCCAAAAAAGCAACATCAACCTTCATTGAAGTTCACCAGCAAAAAAGGGGAAAAATAAAAAAATGCAACACAAAATAATGCCGAATAGTACCAACATTGTTCAACTATCCAAAAGGTAGACATATTCTAACTAGCTGATACGAGCTTTTCACGTTCTATATCATCAAGAATCCCGGGGGAATCATCGTCGCTCTCACACGATTTTTCTTGCTTCATAATACCATGTTGGTATAGCAGGTATGAGTACCTCGTCCTCTCCGTGTCGGGATCGTAGTCCTCCGGGATATCAAACTTCGTGATGAAGTATTCGGCAAATGAGGCGACAAATATTCCGCAATCTCTGAAAAAAAAAAGTATAAAAAAATTGTTAATACAACGTTAAATTTTACGTGGATGACTACATAAATGTTGATAACAGTTAATAGATTTTAGCCCTGATGCTGATGAGGAAGATTTTCAGCCATAATAACATCGAGTGGCTCAATCATCCCTTTTCCATCGAATCCTTTTCCCACAGTTTTTATGTCGGTCCTTTTGGAGTAGAAGTGGATCATACCGAGGAAAATAGGAATGATAGTACAGTAGCACTGAACACCGTCGTACACAATCTTGTCATACTCTTCTGATCGAAGAGAATTGTATACAACGATACTCCTCTCGACAATGGAAAATCGCCCAAGAACCCAATGGCCAACACCGTTGTAATCAATATGAATAGGAAAGAAGACATGATCAACATCAAACCAGGACTCTCCACAAATTTTCTTCTTCCCCAATATATAGTCTACAACGATGTTGTCTAGAGAACAAACACCCGGATTGGAACCTTTCGAAATGTACAAGTCATAAAGAGATTTGATTTTATGATCAAAAAGAACGTCGGTGGTTGTGTACCGTACGACTTCGTTTGAACCATATGGTCCAAGCTTTCGCAAATAATAGAATAAAACATCCATATGCTATATAGGAATGATAATTAACAGTGATTAGCAGGGATTTAAAATATTTAATTAATAATAACATAATGGCATGCACGGGTTAAGTAACTATGTACTTACACTATCATCAAGAAAGGAACCAGGTTCTAGGAGCCTCATAAACCAATTCTTGTCAGTGATACGGGCAACATTGAAGTCGAATGGTCTCTTGAGTTGCCTGTATTTCTTAAGGTAGTGCTCCGTCCTTTTAAGAATTTAATATTTATCACAACGTTGATAGTGTAGTAAGTGAAATATAGAATACAGAAGACTGTTTTTCATTTGTAAACAATCTAAAAAATAATTAGACTATTTTTTTTTAAATGTACTAATACTTATTAAACAGTATTATATCCTGTAAGATGAATAGTAAGTATACAAAAATATGAAACTTACTTGTGTTCACTAATCTTTCGAAAAGTCTGAAGATGACCCATTCTAAGCCACCTCAAGAAATCTTCTGTTTCACCGTCAAAAACATTCTTCCAGAACGGGACATTAAGTGGACATGATTGTTTAACCACATCCCGTTTCTTCAAACCGACTACCACAGGGTTTAACACAGCCGGTTTGGCATTCTTAGTAGGTATGTCCACACCTTTTTCCTACAAAGTACATAAATTATAATTAATTAGTGTAAACATCCTTTATGAATGGATTTAAGGATAATTATAAAAACTAACAGTTACAATCTTGGTAGGGTGCACATCTCTCGAAGGTTGTAGTGGATGTAGATCTTTGGTGATTGCGTCAAATGATGGTTGCGATGATAGTTGAGACAGTTTGACTGGTTCGGATTTGAGACCAATGCGTTCATTCAGTGAAAGACCATGGCCTACAGGTTTCTGCATAATAAATTTGATGTATTTATTAGAAGTAAATATAAAAAATGTATGTTGTTTAAATGAAGGACATTAATACAATGTACATGTTTATCTAATGTATATGCTTAATATAAATGCACTAAATCACAAGAAAACATAATGTGTTTTTTTTTAAACCTTTTCCTTGTCGATAGATCGACTTTTTGTTATTGCTTCAGTAGCCCTATCAATTTCGGCTAGAAATTGAGTGTTGATGGGAGAGAACGTGTCAACATCAACATCAGCATTCAACTGGTAGACTGCTTCTTCAGTCTATGGGCAGAAAAAAAAATATAATCGATGAATTTGAACAAATAATTCAGATTTAGTGTATATATACACTATGTAAACAGTATATAAACAAAAAAGGGAAAAATAACATAAAATAGTACATGTTAAGTTAAACTACATATATACAATATATCTAAATAATTATATCTAGTACATGTTAACTTAAACTACATATATACAATATGTAAACAATATATAAAATGTATATATCTAGTATATATACATTGTATAAACAATACATGTTAACTTAAACTACATATATACAATATGTAAACAAAAAATAATTATAAGAATGATAGTTGAGATGACATACTACTTTTGGATCATGTCCCAAGTCGGTATCTTGTCCAACTTGGGCATCAACATCATCAGCATTAAACCGGTTGACTGCATCTTCATTCTATGGGAAGTAAAAAAAAATATTATCGATGAAATTGAACAAATAATTCATATTTACTGTATATATACACTATATAAACAGTGTATAAACAAAAAAATGGAAGAATGACATAATAATGAACATGTTCAGATATAATATTAAATATATATATTGTATATAAGCATTATAAAAAATATCTGTATATATATTGATATATAAATACTACATGTTCAGTTATAGCTATATGTGTTATATAAACGGTATATATCTGGCATATATACCTTGTAAAAAAAAGTACATTACACTATGTAAACAAAATAATATTTATAAGAATGATAGTTGAGATTGCATACTCCTTTGGGATTATTTCCCACGTCGGTATCTTCTTCAACTTGGGCATCCACATCACATTCCTGAACTTATTTAAAGGCCAAAATTTGTGAAAAAAAAAGAATTATGTTATCCCTGTCAAACAAAACAAATCTGGTATGACAAATAGCAATAAGTGTTAAAACAAACCTTTGGATCGGGATGACTTGTATCAACATCAATGTTTGTGGCACCGCCTGTTTCATCGTTTGGAACATTGGCTGCAAACTGGTGATGTGATTGTGCTCCAAGATTTCTACCCTTTTTAAAAATTATTTATGGAGAGAAAAAAAAAATCAATTAAATATATATGAATAAATATGGAAAAATTACAAATTTCCATTACAGTTAATATTTTTTTTTTTATATACAAAAAAAAACGAACCAATATCAGTTGTTTGAGCATGGCAAAGTCAGTAGCACTCCTCGTTGAAAACTCCATAAACATATTCTTGAGCATTTCAATCTCGTTAGCCATTTCTGTCTGTTTTTTTCCCATCTCATCCAATCGGTTAAGTATCTCAGATTGGATGTGTGTTGGACCATTAGATGACGAGTCGTCGTCTAAGAGAAATTGATTTTTTTTTTCTTGAAGAACCCATCTAAGTGAAGATTGGATTTTTCAAAATCTGTCGGGCTCAAGTTGTTGAACTGAAAAAGTTAATGATTATCAAAGCATCAGAAAGCGTCCTTACAGTATGTTATTATAATAAAAAATAAAAACTATAAAATAAATTGTAAACATACCTTGTCATGTGACAAGTTCATGAAATGTCTGTCAATGAATAATCTGTTGTAGCATCCTTTCACCTCTCACTTCACCATGCGTGGCATATCTTCACCAACTATGCGTGAGCAAATCAGCCCATCAGCTATGTCACAAATCTCAAAAAACCAAATCTGTAGTGCTAGGATGAATCCATAGCATCTGAAAAGATAGTCATTCACATCGTCTTTTTCTCGTATGCATCGCCCGACGATTGTGCAACGTCTTATGGATAGTGTATTCAAACACCTATGTTCCCCATGGAAATTCATCACACTCGGAGCTATCAATTATGTCCAAATATCGTCTATCAAGCAACAACGTGTCCTGGGCACCCAGTAAAAAATTTGCTAGAAGGTGCAGTTTT